CCCCCGCCGCGCCAGCGGCGGCGCCGCGCGGCGAGGCGAGCACGAGCGCGGGCGGCGGCCGCGGCGACGAGCAGCAGCAACAGCAGCAGCAGCAGCAGCCGTCGCGTGCGGTGTTTTTGAAAGCCCCGAAGCTGCGCGCCCCGGAAGCTGACGTGAAGCTGGTCGATGCGCGGCGGCTGCGGGTCGCCGCTGCCGCCGCCGCCGCCGCCGCCGCCCCCGAGGCTGCGCCGGGCGGCGTCGCCGCAAGCCGGCAGCTGGGGGGCCGGCTTGCGGCCGAAATCGCTGAGGTGGAGGAGATGATGGCGGCCGCGGAGGCGGCGGGCGGGGGCGCGGAAGGCGAGGAGGCGCTAGGTGACGACGATTTTTTCGATGACTTTGTGTGCCGGGCGGCGGCGGCGGGCGGCGACGGCGAGGGGGAGGGTGAGGAGGAGGGCGGGGGCGCCGCCGCTGGGGCGGCCGCGGCGGCGTCGGAGGGAGCGGATGAGGGGTTTTCGGGGGAGGGGGAGGAAGAGGAGGACGAGGAGGAGGATGATGAGTACGAGGAGTTTAGCAGCGACCTCGAGGGAGACGAGCAGCAGCAGCAGCAGCAGCAGCAGCAGCAGCAGCAGCAGCAGCAGCAGCACCAGCAGCAGCAGGGGCAGCGGCAGCACGCGCCCGGCGCGCCGGCCGCCGGGCTCGCCGCGCTGGACGACCAGTTTGATAATCTGATGAGCGCGTACGACGAGGACGAGCTCGGCGACTTGGAGGACGATCCGCGGGCGGCGGGCAGCCGCGATTTGGGAAGCTTCCGCGCCGTCCTCGGGGCGGGCGGCGCCGGCGGCACGGGCGCCGGCGGCGGCGAAAGGGCGGCGGTAGAGGGGTACGGCGTTGCGCTGCCGCCGAGTGGCGCGGCAAAGGTGGCCACGCTGGATGATAGGGATGAAGAGGCGGTGGCTGCGGTGCGGGCCAGGATTGCCGCGCAGGACGCGCGCGCCGCCGCGCGCGCCGAGGCGGCGGCGGCGGCGGGCGGCGGCGGGGAGGACGAGGAAGACGAGGACGGCGGCGGCGGCGGGGGCCCCGCGGCGAGC